GATAGTGTGAGTAGCCTTGTCCATCTGTTCCTTGCCTTTTAATTTATTTATTTATTTATTCAGTTACCCTCAAGGCCCAAGGGCATTACAGAGGGGAGTGGGTACATACATACATGTACAGCATACAAAGCAAAATACAACAGAAAAATTGCAATCGTCGCTTGCTACAGGGTTGAACTGAGGCTACGTACAAATAAAATTAGTGACGGCAATTTTAAATAAGGCAGCATCTTTTATACCAACAATATCACAAGGAAGATGATTCCAGCATACAGATGTTTTTGGCACAAATGAATTATGAAAACACTTGGTGTGCGCTAAAGGAAGTCCTACTTTATGGCGATGATCAATGCGAGTGGAAACGTAAGTTGGTTGGGCCAATAATCTGCTTCTCAGTAACGGATTGGTGAAGTAAATTTTATGGAATATACATAGCCGAGACACTTTCGTGCGAAGAGACAGTAGGGGTAATGCTAGTGTAGTTTTCATTGATGTGACGCTCGAGGTGCGATGGTAATTTGAAAGGATGAAACGCGCTGCCCGATTCTGCACTCGTTCTAATTCATAGATAAGCGAGTCATGATCAGGGTCCCAAACCGATGCTGCATATTCTAATCTGCTACGTACCAATACTTTGTAGAGTAAGAGTTTCAAGGAAACGGGTGCCTGATTAAAATTTCTTCGAAGGTAACCCAACATGCTATTAGCTTTACCTGCAATATATTCAATGTGTGTCTTCCAAGACAATGTAGAAGTTATGTGGATACCTAGATACTTATAAGAATTTACTATTTCGAGAAGAACATTATTAATATGATACGACCTGATACTAGTGCTGTGTCGGTTAACATGCATGTACTTGCATTTGTTAACGTTTAACGCCATGCCCCAAGTCTCACACCATTCCTGAACCCGATCCATATCAGCCTGCAAATCTAGAACGTCTGAATGTCCCTTAATTGCCCGATAAATTACGCAGTCATCTGCGAAAAGACTCACTGAAGAAGTAATGTTTAGAGGCAAATCATTTATATAGACCAGAAAGAGCAATGGTCCCAACACGGAGCCCTGTGGGACCCCAGAGCCAACCGAGACCCTGGGCGAATCTAAGTTATTAACAGTTACAAATTGGGAACGGTTACTGAGAAAAGCAATCACCCATGCGAGGACGTTATCATCTATATTGAGGCTCCGTAATTTTAAAATGAGTAAATCATGAGGTACTTTGTCAAACGCTTTTGAGAAATCTAAAAAGATACAGTCAATGGGTGTGCCGTTGTCGAGAATAGAAAGCAAATCATGTATAAAACATATTAGTTGCGTTTCACAGGAAAAGTTTTTACGAAATCCATGCTGCGAATCAGTAAAGAAAGAATTGCCCTCTAAAAATTTTACAAGCTGCGAATAAATTACGTGTTCCATTATTTTGCATGGTATCGAAGTGATTGATACTGGTCTGTAATTTTCCGGACAAAGTTTATCACCTGACTTAAAGAATGGAATAATTCTTCCCACACTCCAATCATCCGGAAGACAGCCCTCTTCCAGAGATTGCTCAAATATTTTTGTTAAGATTATGGCGCTGTAGACTTTAGTGTTGATTAAAAACTTGGAAGTAATGTTGTCAATTCCGGCGGAAGACGAGACTTTAAGATTTTCTATTATTTTTTGTACACCTGCTGTGTCAAAACGAATTGCTTCCATCGGGAGATAACCACTAGCTTGACAAACAGGGTTTGAACCTTTGTTGAGGAGACCTGACACTGCCGCCGCGAAGGTGTCACAGAGAATAACAGCGCAATCATCTTTGTGGGTTACCCCGTCCGAAGTTTTAAGTGTTATTTCATGAGTATCTTTTTTATTCACCAGCCTCCAAAATTGTCTCGGGTTGTTGACTAACATATTGGGGAGTGTGTTATTAAAGTAGGTTTCCTTTGCTGCTTTTGTGGCCCTCCTATATTCCCCATCAGCAACGTAGTAAGAATCCCATCTGGCCTGCGAGTTTGAAACTTTAGCGGACCGAAACAGCCTTTTTTTCTTATTAGCCAACCTTTTCAAAGATTGGCTATACCAGGGAGCATGCTTATTGGTGGTGACTAGCCTCAGGGGAACAAACGCTTCAGTCAGGTATGCTACTTTTTCTTTGAACAAAATCCAGTTCGAATTAACGGAACGAGCCTCGAATTCATCAAGATAGCTGTCCAGAAATGAACAAAATTCTCTATTGATGGCATCAAAATCAGCAGCAGCGTAATCTCTAATGTGCTTAGTATAATTTTCATGGTGAGGAACGCAAACATCCATAGTGAAATGGAGCAAAGAATGATCACTTAATTGAGGCAAACAAAGTGGAGACGTGAACAGGTCAGGCACGTTGGTTAACACGAGATCTAAAACGCTCGAAGTAGTAGGTGTAATGCGAGTTGGTTGGGTGACAATTTGCGTAAAGTTGAAATCAGAACAAAAGCTCAAAAAATTATAACTGTCAGTAGAGAACGGACTTAACTGAGGTACATCACTGGACCAAAATATATTTGGGTAGTTAAAGTCTCCGGCTAAAAGGACTGGTACATTAGGAAAACATTCCATAACTATGTTAACCACATCGTGAAGGCTATTGACAAAGCTCGGATCGCAGGACGGTGGACGGTAGCAGATACCCAAGATAATCTTTTATTAATTATACAGGCTGAACTTGCATTACACTTGAGGTCGTGCTGTCACAGAGCCAGAACGCATGTTCTCAAATTTTCATAGGAATTGAGTTAGCAATTAGTAGGTAGCGTGGTATTACCATAAAGTACAGTGGTGGATGTTCTTTTCACTTATATGCGAGTTGAATTCCCATCACTCAATTATGATGTAAACAAAGTTACCCCAGATTTTGCCAATTGCTTACACGTTTGATGCAGCCAGTATCTGCAACATGCTGCTTACAGAGCTACAATAAGCTGCCAACTATCTTTGAATGCAGATGCAATGTGTCGAAAACATGTGTCAGCTTGCTTCACACTATCTACGTGTGAAGTATCTATGTGGCTGTTTTGCAATAATTTATATATGGGCACGATGCATGCATTTTTGTTATTTGAGCAAGCAATACACAAGGTGAGCATTGCTGCGCTGCTCTGTATACTCGATAAAATAATGAAGCAGACTCAAAAAAGAAAATAGAATGTTCAGATTAACTGATTCACTTATCAAAGCAATCGTTCAACTCTTTAAGAGATTTACAAAGCTTTTAGTGATTCAGCTGCTGGTGTTTGTCATACATGTGCGTAAAAATTTTTGCAGCACTTGTTTGGGTTCACTACATTTACCACAAAATTTTTGTTTTTCTTATTGAGATGACCGAATTATCCTGTATAGATCTATCCACCTTATACTGGGTACGAGCCGGAGTACTTCACTATATTTTTTTTTTCTTTTTGGCCCCACAATAAAAAAATTATAGCTCTGCCAGCCTTGGCGATGGCAAGCTTCCAAACTGCAAATTTATCCCCATGCCAGAACATGGAAAAGTGACACCTTTGCCGTGCATGTTTCTTACCCTGAATTGCAATGCCTGACACAAAACACGCTTCGCGAGTTTTCTTAATTTCGTAGACGTCATTCCTCTCAATGCACACTAACACAAAGTACACGTACAACCGCGTGGAATGCCAACAAAGCAGACAAGCCCCTGTCGCAGCGTACTACACTACCGTATTCCCCGTGTTAGCTGGCACAGTCTCCTACTGTCATGCCATGTATTGGCCTACCAGAGATATAGCGCAATGCGGCGCTTCTAGCCACGAGAAACACGGCTCGCTTTTCACACCTCCCCATTTTAGCCAGCCTACTGTATGTGCTGCGCTGCCACCATCTTCACTATCATCTGGTGCAACAACATCATTGAAGCTTCCACACTTTTCACGTGTTTGCCGCAGGCAAAATGCAATGAATACGACGTCATCATGCTCACTGCGCCAACTCAGAGCTTGGTCGCAGTGGTGACCTTTCGTAAGTTGGGGAAGCACCCTTAGACGACGCCATTGTCGCAAGGTGCAGTGTATAGTGCTGAATTGACCTCACCAAGTTAAATATTTGCACAAAGTAGCTCCCAAGCTGCATTCGTTCTTAGGACTTGGTACATGATATACTCTTGTCCCCGGGAAGCATTCCTACTTGAAACTCAGCCCATGAAAGGCGATAAGTCTGTGTAAAAAGCTGCAAATGAGCGTTCCAAGTAATTGTTTTTATAACAATGTTAAACTGACTTGGATATTTTCAATTTTAGTCACATTAAGATCTTGAAGTTACAGCTTCTATACCTACCGACAATGAACAGCTTGTGGTGAACTTATGCTTATCGTTATTAAAAATGACAATTTTGCAGTGTCACAAATTAAAACTGCAATTTGATGATGAAGCACACAAGGACAAAAAACCCCATATTAATTTAGGCCAATTTCATTTATAGTGAACAAATAAGTTACATTGCTCTTCCATCAACATGCAACCTTTGCAGCTGGAATTAGACCCCATAACCTCGTGATAGATTGCAACATTGCAGCCAATGAGCTGCCATAAGGGCCATCCTAAATCCTAAAACCTTATTTCCTCAATTAAATATACATCTAATTAATTGCCAAAGTTAAGGTTGACAGAACTTGGCAGATGCCATAGTTTCAAAATCCTTTCGTATTTTCTCTTCCCCCCCCCCCCTCAGCCTTGTTCTGAAAAGCAGGTGTAGTGCCATAGTAGTTATAATACTGCTGCTATGTTACTTGTCTCTTATGAAACAAGAAACCATCCAACTGCAATAGTCACAAGAACTATTTGAATGTGACCAAGTTAGCCACACAACGTTTGGAATAGGCTGTATAAAATTCTGCCACAGCTGTTTCTTTTTTTCAATACACAGCATATTGCAAACAAACAAGCTCATCCTAGAGACGTTATGAGACAAACAGCGAAATGCAAACCAAGGAATTTTTTAATCAAGATTTGTGACTCACATGCACTCTTAATTTGTGCTTCGTTCGTCTTAACAGACCGTTGGTCCACTGAAAATTATAAACAAGCAAAATCAGCAATTACAAAACAGCAAAAAAAAGCACAAGCAAGTTGCCCATGTATAAATGGCTTTAAATGAAATTATGAAAAGCAAAATATTCGCAGCTGTTGAAAATAGACTAGATGTTAGTGATTCAGGTAACCAGCCCAAACTCATGTGCTGAATACTTTAACTTTTTTTAAAGAAGCACTGACATAAAATTTACTCATATCAAGACTTTTGCATCCACGAGAAGTTACAGCAGCGATTCGCGACGCAAATTGCAACTGACTGATGAATAACTATCTGGTTTGATGTTTTAGATCTCCAGTATCTAGCACAGTTCAAAACCACCAGCAAGCCTACCAATTTTAGTGCTGGCAGCGATTCCTTGTGATCACCTTCAAATCGTGCTTTTGATGACCCCTCCTCCACGAAAAGGAGTGACACGAGGCTTATCGCTAACATTCCCTCTGCTAGGCACAATTGTTCAGTAATGTCTAACCACCACTATTACTGTAGTTGTCGTCAAAAGAGTCGACTAGCGTTGAAGAAGATAGTCTGGAGCTTGCAATTGCCACCATTTGTGACCTCGCAAATAATTTTTGCTTCGATCGACTCCTTGCTAAACAATGACTAAAAATTGGACGCTGTTCCAAGCAGCAACGATGAAGTGCCCAGGGACACACGCTTGGCCCATGCCCGCTCATGTGTCTCAATTAGCTACATTGGGAAGCTTTGGCTTGCGTGCGCAGCATTCTGGCCACTGCAAAGAGGTCTACAAGATATCAATATAGCGAATGCAAACCAGCAGATAAAATAGGATACATTAGGTTACTACAGTAACAATACTGTGCTTACAAGGTTCCTTTTCGCGTCTCCAGATGGCCCCACCTGTCCGGCCTCTCACGATTACGGCAGCAATAATTCAGTATTACGGGAGCACAAAGAAGTCTACAGATGAATTAAAATTCACTGTTAATGACACTTGCCTGTTACTTACTAGTGATATTTATCAATAAGCTACTCTACTTTCATAGATTGTGGTAACGTTGGTGTGTATCGTACATGTAACGAAAGTACATACTTACTACACTTTTTTTACACTTCGAACAACACGACTGTAGCTTTCAATGATTTCACAATATATGCTGACCGATAAGCGCCCATAGAATCATGCTCCTTACTTTTGCCTGTCTTTTATTGGTGGTTAGCATTCTGCAATTTCAAGAAATCATTCAAAGCTGTGTGACCAAGATCAGACACTAAGAGTGAGAGCTTTTGTAGGCGTCACACCACGATAAGAACACTCCGATCGTCAACGTCATCGCTGCTAGCACATCATTGCTTAGGGCATGCACCACACCAAACGTGTCACAGTAGTGTCAATGTCGCAGGATGCTGAAAGCCGCCTTTAGGCTTACTTGTGCTCTTTGCCCTCGAAATAAAATAATTTCTAAGCCACAGCCACCATTTAAACTTCGCCAAAAACACTTATGCATATTGAACGATCGACTGAAGGACAAATATAGAGCTTGAATGTATTATGTCAGTGCCCCTTTAAGTAGCATGCAGCATTACTATTCCTTCCAGGTAAGAATAAAATATCTATACATGCTAAGCACAACTTATCAAGCAACAGGTGGAAATATTTAGGATTCTCCCAAATGCCACCTTCATTCGGCAACCTCTAGTCATATGCTTTCCTTTAGTAGCACACCATCACCAATGCACATTAAACCACAGTGTCAGACAGTCGAGCAACAACCATGCCGCTATAAAAAGCTCTTGCAATTATTGCATTAACAAGCCATGCAATATGCAATGAATAATGCAGAAACTATGGACAGCTTGCTCATAATTATGGTGCAACTTCTGAAAATCGGCACAGGAATTCAAATGCATTTCAAGTGAAATAATGCTACAAATATGTTCACACTCCCTGTTATGTGCATGTTCAAACCTAACCAAAATTAACCTAAAGAGAAATAAAAGCATGTTACTGTTTTAACATTTGTATGCATGTCTAGAAAACTGTTAACGCCATCTTATGGAATGAATAGTGTTCACAACTTTTCAAATCAACCAACACAGTATTTAAAGGGACTGGAGCCTAGTTATTATTTCTAAATAGCATATGCTTCCAAAACCCTTGTTTCCTTGCTAATATCAACATGCTGTTTATTGCCGAAACATTTCCCTTCTTTTACTGCAGTTAATCCAGCACCAAATAATCTTTTTCACGACTGATCAGATTGGCACGAGCAAATATTTTGCAGTAAAAGCCTGTTAATTCGAATGAGACCAAGAAATTGTTCAAGTTAGTAGGCGGGCGCTAGAATGAAGGACATTGCACGATACTGCGTAGGCAAAGCCAAAAGGAGCCGCATCTGGACTTCGCATCACGAGCTAGATGCTACTGCACAGTTGTGGCAGGCGACTTCGTAGATTGAGTCCACAGAATGCTTAAAGCGAACCGAATTAATTGATTGGTCAGTGATACACCAGAAACAAGCATTGAGATGCCTTCAGGTGAGCAGTGAGCCTTACACGTATAATGCTATTTATGTCCCAAAATCAGGTTATTTACAAGGAACACAATCAATACACGTATAATGCTATTTATGTCCCAAAATGAGTTTATTTACAAGGAACACAATCAAAATTAAAATTAGTAATTTCAATAGCTTGTGTTTTTCCTGTCGCAATTCCATGACTACGTCTGAAGCTTCACCCTGGGCAGATTTCTGCGAGGCATGATAACCACCAAGGGCTGTCAGTTCAAATTAACCGTTGCTCATACAATACATTCTAATTATTTGAAGGTCTTGAATGGGGCAGGACATCCTCATGCACAACACCATTGCGCTTCACCAAGGTCCTCAGTGATGGGGACAGCAAAGCGTATACCGCTGTCGCTGAGGCCAAGGTATATGGTGAAGTTGTTGTAGACAAGGAGGAGTGCACAAACCATGTGGTCAAGCGTCTAGGCACAGCTCTTCGGAAACTGCCAACACGAGTTCCACGAGGAGAAAAGCTGACAGATGGCACAATTCAGAAGCTGCAGAACTATTACCGTATTGCAATCACAAACAACAGAGGCGATATCCTGAAAATGCATCGTGCCATCTGGGCCTCGCATTTCCATTCATCGTCGAGCAACACAGCAGGCAGCCACCGATACTGTCCAGAAGGGGGGACTTCCTGGTGCAAGCATAGGCGAGCCGAAGCGCTTAAGGAGGCACCACCCGACCACACACCAATCTTGACCAAAGCTCAAGGATTGGCTGTGCTTCCTATTTACAAGCGCCTCACAGATGAAAAGTTGCTGGTACGTTGTAATCAAGGGAAGACCCAAAACGCTGCAAAATCTTTGAACAGTAAAATCTGGCTGTTGTGTCCGAAGACTAAGTTCGCCTCCCGGACAACAGTGAAACTGCAGCTGCTATGGCCGTGCTGTGGTTATATAAAGGACATTCAAGCTTTGAACACGTGCTAGAGGAGCGTGGTGTAGTACCACCAGATCAAGTGATCACCCTGGGGCCAATTTCGTGACCAGAAGAGAATCGAAAGAATGTCTGCGTGTGAAACAGCCGAGGCAAGGGCTCATCGGCGGAACGTGGCGAAGAAAGCGCACCTTGATGATTCCCTTCTCAAGCGGCGAGAATGATCCACATATGGAGCAGGACAATTTTAGGTGCTCTAGCTGTGTCCATTCTATGATCTCACCAATTTTTGTGCAAATCGCACTGTGTAATCATGAGTAAACATATTTATAACTTTCAAATGCATTTTTCTCGATTTGCATATTGAGGTAATTCTCTCATTTTGTGCACAATCTTTTTTACACATAAAATACCGTAATTACTCGAATCTAACGTGCACCTTTTTTCCGGTTAGGCGAGTTCATAAATCGCATGCGCGTCGGCCATCTGTTATGATGGCACATGGATGACCAGAGGTCACCTGTCGCACATTGGTGTGGGTGTTATACAGCTGTTTTCTGGCTATGTTTTAGACTATGTTGTCCTGTCAAATTCTTGTGCTGGCTGCAAGCGCGCACCACCAAAAATGCACCCAAATTGCTTGTTTGGGAGTCCACGCACATCTGCCAGAAAAATGAGCAGTGCGAATCAGGACACATGGAAGTTAAGGCAGCAGTCACTCTCTTTGAGCGCTCAATTTCCCGTCACGGCTTGTGGTACACAGTGATGCTGTGTGATGGGGACTGTAGATCATTCCGTGCTGTTGAAGACTCGACAGTTTATGGTTTCATACAAGTTCAAAAAAGAGGACTGTATAAACCATGTCCAAAAATGAATGGGTACCGCACTACGCAGTCTTGTTCAAAAGCATAAAGGTTCTCGCGAAACACTGAGCGGAAGAGGCTGCTTGACAGGTGATTTCATAGAGAAATTGCCGAGATACTATGGCTGGACGATAGTTATAGCGCGAGAACAAAACGACGAAACAGAGACAAAAAGGACATGAAAGACACGAGCGCTATGTCATGTCCTACTTGTCTCTGTGTCGTTGTTTTGTTCTCGCGCTATAACTATCGTCCTGCCATAACAACTAGCCCAAGCTGCCACACTATGGCTGGGCTCTGAAGTCCAATGTTGGTGATGTAGATGCAATGCACCAGGCAGCCATGGCCACATATGATCATGTGGCATCGACTGATGAAAGGTTCGACCACACCTTTTGCGCAAGTGGCAGTGACTCATGGTGCAAGCAGAATGCTGCTGCTGCTGCAAGGGGAGAACCGCTGCCAAGACACACCTACAGCTTCCCACAAAATGTCCGTGATGCACTACTTCCAGTCTGCGAGTGACTTTGTGACAAGGAGGTGCTAAAACGCTGCCAAAGAGGCAAGACACAAAATGCCAAAGAGGCAAGACACGAAATGCAAACGAGGCACTCCATTCTGTCATATGGTCTCTAATGCCCAAACAGAAGCATGATTCACTCATAGCTGTTGAGACTGCAGTTGCTGAGGCCGTGATGCAC